CTGACATTTAAAACATTTTCAGTACTTTCTGCCTTGTGGAAGATTACACCACATGTACATATAGTACATAAAGATTTTTCTATTGTGTGAGGAGATATAATGGAAAGGCAAGAGGAAATACTAAAGTAACATAATGGGTTATTAAACAGACTCAGATAAATAGAGAGAACTGTTATCTAGTGAATTTTGCAAATTATGATGCTCTATTTGTAGAGCACACACAAAGAAGGGTGTGATTATAATGTAGTCTGATGAGTCTCCACCAGGCAATGAGTGAAATTAAGAGCAATAGAACTTACTTTGTGTTATTTTGCTCCAGATAGACCCACTTCACAGATTAAACAATAAGTCTCCACAAAAAATACCTAGTAGAAAAGAGACATGCTGACTGCATCATGAAAAGTTTTCTGTAGCATGCAAAAAACAAAGTCATCTCCTTAAATCTTTGTGAAAAAACACAAAGAATTGTAGTAGCCAGTAGCAAAAGATTGTAGTTTCTCTGCTATCAACATCAGAAATAGCTGGATGTGTGAATTAGATGTTTCTACATTGATGATGGAGGAACAATGAAAGGAGAAGAAGAATTTGGGATGTCCTTGTTTTAACAAGTGACTGTCTGCATGTAAAGTACAGCCTTCTTCATCATCAATACTGCACAAGCATGCACCCAATGTGCATATCAGAAATTTACATAAGTTTAAGATTCATTGAGCATGAGTTCCCTCACTTATTTCAATCTCTTTTAAAGTCTGATTCTGTAGGTTCTAGAAAATAAGTCCTTATGAAGAACAGGAGAATAAAGTTGTTTAAGGAACTTTCTAATTCTGTAGAACTGAGAAAAGGAAAGAGAAACTCAATGGAAAATTTATGGGATCTCACTCAGTCCTGGTTTTACCAATAAGGTAATTGGCAGGTGACTTCTTTTACTTGCTTTCCCAAGAATCTTAGTGACATGAAGTGAGCTGTTGATTGCATAACTTCTCTTTCACTTTAAGAGGCAGAAAGCTGATACAATGTTTGTGAAAAGGTAAAGCTAACAAGTTACTTCTAACCATCACTGAGCAGAATGAAAGGTAATGAGAGCAGGAGTTCATAATGTAGCTTTTGAAGATGGGACAGCAGGTAACAAGGAGCAATTAGGGAGTACCAAAGCTCAGGTGAGATAAGTGGGGAAAAAGTGGTTCATCTGTCAAAGAAGGGGAGGAGCATACATACGAGGGGATATTTTTCATTTCTGGCCTTCATGATGGCTTTAACCATTATGAGGTCAAAAGGAGGATTAAATATTTCAATGGCAATTCTATAGAAACTATTACATTTAAGAAACTAAAAGTCCAAAAATTTAGACCATCTTATTCACAGAATCATAGATTTGAAGAATGGAAGAGGTTTAAAGGGGTTTTCTAGAGAATGTCTAATCCAACCTCCTGCTAGAACTGGTTGCTCAGGGTCATGTCCAGTTGGTTTTAATATTTTCAAGGATGGATATTGAATCACTTTTATGGGCAACTTGTTTCAGTCTGACTACACTCATAGTAAAGGAATTTTGGTTTGCATTTAAACTGAATTTCATTTGTGTCCATTTCCTCTTGTCTTGTCACAGGGCACCTCTGAGAATATTCTTTTCTGTTCCCACTATTAGATGTTTTTACGTGTCTGCTAGACCGCCTCTGAGACTTCTCTTTTCTAGGCTCTCAGCAGTCCCAACTCTCAGCAGTTTTTCATATGCAAAATGCTCAAATGCCTTAGTCACGTTAGTGACCCTTGTTGGACTTACTTGTCTGTCTCTCTCTTGTACATGGGAGCCCAGACCTGGACACAATGTTCCAGACATGTCCTGTCAGAGCTGAATAGAGGGGAAGGATCACCTCCCTCAACCTGCTTCCTGGAATACTGCTCTTAATAGAGCTCAGGAGGCTGTTAGACTTCTTTGCTGGAAGGGGCCATTGCTGCACCAGGGTCAACTTGTTTTCCACCAGGACTCCCAGGGCCTCTTCTGCCAAGTTGTAAACTGAACTTTTGAATATCCTGTTTGTTTAAATTTCCCTAAGCTGATCCGTCTCCATTGAGGTAAGTCCTTCTTGCTCTGGATTTTCCCACTGTTCTCAGAGGACTGGCATTTCTGAGGGCCAGTCTTGCCAGTGAAGAGTGAGGTTAAGACAGTGCTGAGTACTTTGGCCTTTTTCTTTCCTTTCACCACCCCGTCTTTCCTATTCAGCAGCAGGCCCACATTTTCCCTAGTCTTCCTTTTGCTGTTGGTGTATATATTAAAGCCCTTCTTGTTGCCCTTGCAGATTCAAATCCAGAAGAACTTGAGCTTTCCTAACCCTGCACACTCAGATGACATCAATATGTTGTGATCTTGCTGTTTCCTCTTCTCAGGATCCTGATCTCCATCATCTCATTATCATGGAAGAAACACAGAAAATCAGTTGTACTGTACACTTGGAATATTGATTGCTGACTGAGCATATTTTAGAATAAAATAATTCTTTTGTTGGTTTTTTTTTTTTTTTTTAAAAGAACAGTAAAATTCCTTTCCACACATAACTTAAAACTCCTGTTGTTCTTTATGATAGCTCCCTTTATTTAGTCATATTATTTCTGGCTTGGTCGGTCTTGCCTGGGCATGATTGTGGTAACTGTGATTACTGAGGGACTAAAAGCAGGGATTAGGAGACTAAGGGACAAAACCACTGAAAGCCAAATCCTAAATGTTGTAAAACGACAACTGCTAGAAATAACTTATTTCCAGTTCTGTATTTTAATTTTCTTTATATCAAAAAAAGTTATCATTCCTTTTTCTTTTACTCTTTTGATGTAGTGTCACCAGAAGATTAGTGATGTCACACAGAATTTTTGAACATTATAAAATTTCTTAATTTTTTTTACTATTGAAAATGTGTTTCATAACCCTTAAATTTTCCTTATGGTTGGCTGTTGGAATCCATGATATGTATTACACAAATCTTGTTTGGGCAGCTGTTACTCCGGGAAAGTCATATGAATCACCATCGACTTGCTCTATAAAAGGAAACAAGCAGCATGTCTTGCTAGACACTGACTTTCTCCTCCATCTGCAGAATACTTGAAAAATATTCCAATGTAAATGTAGCTACTGTGTCTAAAAGCTTTTTAAAAGCCATATAAAACTACTTGAGACAGAAGTAATGGTCTTTTCTTCACCAACAGTGAGAATCGAATGTGCAGTCAATAGCAATTTAGTAAAAACAGAAAAAAAAAATTCAGGAACTTCACAGGATTAATTTCTCATACTGTGTGAATCACATTGTATTACCTGAGTTTTGGGGAAATGAGTGTCTCTAAAGAATTTTGTGAAATGTCAATACTCTTGTTAAGGTTTTGAATATTTTGTTTAATATACAGGTATGTAAGAAAGTAACTATCATCTGATGTGTCATATAATTATAAACATAATCCTAGCACAGAAGTGCAGTGATACTCTCCTGAAGAGGCACGAGCTACACAAATACATTGTTCTCTTTCTATAAGTCTCTCCTTTTCCAGCTGGGGACTGCTAACAGTAAGTAAAATGTCTAAGTGTAGCTATTTGAAAAAGATTCTGCTATTATTTTTCAGTTAAAGGTTATTTTGTAGCAGGTTGAGGTATGGTTACTATGGTAGGAGTGCATCCTACTTTTAATTTTTCTGTTCTTTTGTCCAAAAAAAAAAAAACGCTTATGAAAGTTGCTGAGAGATTCAGATGGGGGGAAGTGCTTCTGTATGTGTAAATAAAGGACAGAACTGAGACTATGCAGCAATTTTCTCTGAGTACATTTGTGAGTCACTTAGGCTATAAGATATACACTTAGAATTTGAGCCTTTTGCAATTTTTCTGCTTCAGTGTGATGTATAGAGGAATAAACTTTCAGTGGCATTTCTGAGTCAAATGAGAGTTATTAATATGGCCACAGGCCTGTGCATGTGCTACTTCAACATGAAAGCAGCAGCAACTGGCTTAGCCAGGCATTGAAAAAGTGTAATGAACTGTATTTATAGCTTGGGTTAAGGTTTGACTTACACAAGAAAAAAGAGATTTGGATGGATGGTAAAAAACTTGGAATGTATTTATTCTTCTCTGATACAACTTTAAAATGTCACTTAAAGTAGAATGTATCCTTGGGCTATGTATTATGTAAGTATGTAATTATAGCTGGCCAACAAATGTTGAACCGTTCTAGTATTATAAATGAATATTTGGGTATGTTCTAATATAACAGACCAAATGAATACATTTGTCACATTTAAATTAGAACATTTATTACAGAAGAAATTATTAAAAACTTTATTTATGACACTGAATATTTAAATAAAGTTTGTTCTTATTCTGTTGGGACTTCCACAATTCAACAGCCTATATTAAAAATGAAAATCAGAGGGAAGAAAAGGAAGAAATAAAATTATTTTGGCAGATGGGGTAGGAAAAGAGCATGAAACAGCTGGAGAGTACTTAGAATATGACAGACCTTTTCTGTATTTCTTTTTTGTTGCTGCTTCGGGAGTATAACAGAAAACCGGCTTCAATATATGTCCTATCAAATAAGTATCTACATGAATTACAGATGTGGCTCTTGCTGAGGCATGTTTTTATCTCTGTGCCGGCGACACCTATAGTTAAGAAACTTGTCATTCTGGCGTGCAGCCTTTAACATTTTTTTTGTCTGTTCCCTCCTGTGGTGCCAAGGAAACACCTTCTTAACTCCCCTGTCTGCATTTTAGCATTTACTATATTTTTGCATGTGACTATATTCTCCTTCACTAGAATCAAATTTGTTCTGGTCAATAAGAAGGAAATTTCTTATAATATGCACCCATAGATGCCTTTCCAAAGCTTTCTAACTATCTTTTTTCTGGGTTATTCTTTCCTTCCTAGTTACAGTTGCACCTTCTCTTTTTTCTTTCCCCCTACCCCTGTTTTTGTTTTGTTTTGTTTTTTTTGCAGGGGGGCAGGAGGGTTGGTTTTGCTTTTTATTTTAAAGATTGGTTTGGACAAAAAGTTCTTGTAAGACTGAGAGTAGTCTATTTTTTCCTTTTTCTCCAGTCAGTAAGTACCTTCTTCAAGTAATTCATCTTCCAGAACCAAGAGGATTTAAATGATTAGGGTGAGTTAGACAGCTTGGCTTACGCTGCCTGATCTTTTCAAGGTTTCTTGGATTTCCCTGAAAAACTGAGACAAGACAGCTAGAAAATTGCCTGCCACTTTTTTTACAAAATCAGTAGTCACTTTCTCTGGATAGTTCTACAGATATATTAACCAGCTATTTCTTTTTGTTGTTGTTTTGTTTTTAATGGTCATTTCATTAGTACATATATATATATTAAAAATACAGTTATTTCATTAGTAAATTTAAAATACTTTACCAACAAATGCAATAACATTTTCCAATTTTATAGATGAGAAAAATGAAGTATGGAAAAAAGGGAGTTGCTTGGCTACTGTCACTGAAGGCCACTTCGAATTTCATTTTCCTTTGGTAAGATGGAAATTTTTCCAGAGACAGTGTTCTCTGTGTCATGATGATATACATGAAGGGGGAGGGTAGGGGGGGAGAGAACTGATTTCAACTTGGTAGGAAATTATAAGAGCGTCGTGGTAACTGGGTTTGTATTCCTGTAGACTTTTGAATCTGTTCTTTTGCTGATGATTTTTGTCCACTCATTGGACCCATTCTTCTAATAAATTCTCAAAAAAAAAAAAACCAACCCCAATTTAATTTTTTCCTGGATTCATGGGTAATTGTGCAGCAACATTATATAGACAGAATGAAAACTTTTTATTTCTATGTATTATAATGCATCAACAAAGGTCACATGTTCACAGTTAAGGATATTTCCTGTCTTTAGGACATTGAATTCATGTATGTTGTGAAGGTGTCTTTTAAATTATGTTTTTTGACTAATACTTGAATGAGCTAGCATATTACCTTTTGTAGTTTGATTACTACCGGTTGTCAGAATCTTAATAACTTTCAATTAAAGATTACTAGAGGCAAAGATATCTTTTAGAATTGGGGTTTTTTCCTGGCACTTGTCTTCTAAGAACAGTAATAGGAGCAAAATTTGCTACCTGTTGAAGCAATTTTCCTGTTCTGACAGATTAGTCCTGAAGTATGCTGTTCCTTCTTTTAAATAGAAGAAAGTAAAGGATGATGCTGCCACACCAGATCAAGGCAAGTCAGACACTGAGGTAATGGGAGACAGACTGAGGAAGCAATCTTTGATTTGGGCCTAGCTGTTCCTCAAAATTAAGCCCAAGTGGCACTGCCTGGATCACCAAGAGGTGTAGCTTCGCTTGAGTACTGAGAGAGACAGTAATGCTCATTAAATGAGTTAATCAGGAAACTAAGTACAGAGAATATTATTTTCTTATACTAGCAATTATTTTCAACAGTCTATTTACCTAGAAATAGTGTTTCTGGTTGGGAAGATCTGTGTTCATAAATATGTTAATTAAATGGCAGTATGCAATATACTCTAATTATAGTTTTGTGTTCCTAAATATAACACAGAATCTTGTGTTAATTCAGTCATAACCGTATATCCATTTTTAACTACATACTAGCTTAGAGTATATGTAGTGAGAAACTTTCTATGGTAGCAACTTTTCTAAAGAATGTGAGGATAAATTTAGTGGTGATAGATAAGCATACTAAAGTATAAAGTATTTTCAAGTTAATTTTTGTAACAAGTTTTTCTATGGCTTTTTCCAAGGCACTTGGCAGAAGTTCATGGCAGAAGATTCTTTTGGAATCTAGCTTTAGTATCAAAACAGCTAGCCTTAGATGTATTTTGACATTGACCATGTCTAGTCGAATTTTGTGAGTTTTTTTTTTTTTTTCAAAAAGCAGTAGCAAGCCATGTTATTAGTCCTTTAATTTAAATGCTTATTTTATTCCAAAGACTAATCAAACATTAATTTGTTTTAATTGTTTTGTCAGCTACAGACAGAAGAATCAGGAATATGCAGGGAATTCAGAGATGCTGCTTGGAATTATTTCTTGGGTTGCACAGGTATAAGTGTTTAATAATGTTCTTGATAATTGTATCCAGCCAACATTGTGACACTAAGAAATTTCTCATATATGTTTCTATTATTTAATTCTAGAGTATGCTTGTCAAGACAGAAAAATTTCAGGGTCTAAAATTTTAAAGTTATCAGTAAAAATCTTGTCTATGAAGTTGGGCATAAATGGACGTGAATAGAATGATCATTTTATTCTAACCTTAATATTATGTATATTAAATTGAGATTTAGTGTCTGTGGTTTGTTCAATAGACATGTTTCTATGTCTCACTTATTAGACACAACAGTAAAGAAAAAGGATTTTCTGAAGAATAATCTGTATAAGAGAGTTTTAAATTCATCTGCACTGCTCATTTAGGCATGCTCAACAGATTACTCATTTGAAGACATTTTTGTGTGGCAAAATACTAGCTCTTTATCTTCATCAGTTCACTAGTTAATTTCTTATATTGGATGCTTCTTCATTAAATGCCTGGAAGGTCAGTCAGAAGCACAAAGATTTTTGTCTGGTTCTCTTATATAGAGCTAGGCTATCAGCAATTTTTCTTAAATTTGGCTGACCATTTGTTCTGCTTGAAGCATTTGGTTCCTAAGGATGGAAAAATGTTTTATTTATTCTAAGAATTGGTGTGTGATTATGAATATACACAGCTGAAATACACAGGCCATTTTGCTAAGGAGTAGTAGGACAGGTTATTAGGTGTTTGTATGGGAAGTATTTCTACTTACCGGTGTCAAGAAAATCTTCTCACTTGACATCACAGTATGTTAGAATTTGTGCTAAACGGCACTTTCAGTGAGAGGCAACATTAAGATCAAGTCAAACCTAGGAAACCATTGAGACAAACCCCAGGAAGATTAACATTAAAAGGCTATGATAACCTGTGGATGTTTCTGAAATTCTCACCCAGACCACTATTTTAAAAATCATTAGCAAAATACAATTAATGCATAAACACTTTGTTTCTGTTTCATAGGGAAGGAGATGTCTCTAGGTGTTTTTCTGTGGAAAGTCCACCCAGATTTTCTTCTTATGGAATGAAAAGATGTGCATCACCAATGAAAGGATTCCACACTTTTTCCATCATGTGCAGGCAATAAAAGTTATTAGGAGGACACTTGTTAGTTCTGTATTGTCAGAGTGACCACAGACCAACCTTCAGCATCCCAGGTGGAATTAGACTAGTGCATGATCAAAAGTGTGGCTTATGACCAGAATCAAATAAATCTGAAGCATCTTCCTAAGTGCTGTGGAGTTAACCTCAGTTTTATGTTTCTAAATATCTGCATTTATTCCAAATTCTGTGGTCATGTGGAAAGAAACACTATTTTCATTTTTTTCATTATGGGGGGAAGGGACAGAAAGCTTAACAAGAACAAAGAATTATAATAAATCTATCCAGAAACCATATGGTTTTTTTTATCTGCTGAACTGTATCATTCCTATTTCTACTATATTATTAGAGCATTTGAGCAGAAGTTAAACTTGCTGATTTAAAGATTAAATGAATTAAACTGATGTCTTTCCATCTTACGTGATACGACATATTCAAATGCATTCACTAGATGTTATTATCTAGTTTCCCAGATTATGATTCAAGTTACATATGTTGTTTGGGTTTAGTCTTTGTGGCATGTTTTTTGAAGTTGGTCAGCTCAAAAAGTGATAATGGATAATTTTTGTATAAAAGTTTGAATACATACATCTCTGTGTATTTCTTTTTTTCCTCATGCTCTAAAGTATTTATAAAAAATTATTTGTAATTTTTTCATCTATATTTTGTTGTATATCAACTTTGAGGGCACTATGACCGACAAGAAAAATGGTTTGGGGGAAATAATCCAGGATACCCCGAGAAAAGCATGAAAGTTTTTGTCTTAAAAGGTTTTAGATTAAGTAGATTCCTTCTTAGTGTGTGATTATGTAAAGGAGAAAAAAAAAATAGAAAAAGAAAAATCTACTTAATATTTGACTGGGGTTGCTTTTTATTCTGCTAATTAGCTTTTATTTCTACTTCAACAATCATGCTTATCTACAGAGAAGATGGGTTGACAGAATGTCTTTAAATCTCTTTTTGACTGAAGATTAAAACCAAAATCACTAAAATACTGAAATTTTCTATCACCTACTTCCTGAATGCATGTGGCTTCAGACTCTTACTGAAACCAGTGCTGTTTTTACTAAATGCTGCACCAGCGGGACAGCATTACAACATTAATCTCTGACCAAACAACCCAGCAGGCAGGAATCTTTTTAAATTGTGTTATTACAGAGTAGGATGAACACACTTGGAATGAACATGCATATTGTTTTCATATCTGCTGTGGGTCAGAGTACATGGTTCTTTAATTCTGAAGGAATATTTCTAGATCAAACGAGCTCTAAACTGTAGAAATGCTAGAAGCTACTTCAGCCCTGTGTTCCTGCTTCTTAGCCAGATAGACCAGTCAGGATCAGATGCATTAAAACAGCAGCATCTGCTTGAATTTACTTAAAGGAGAGGTGCAACGCTGACTGCACAGCTGCTACATCAGTGTCTGCAAAGTAACGGTAACACAATAAAATCCAAGTTACCAGGCACAGAAAAGAGATAATACACAAATCAACAGAAATAACTTAATTTCCAATAAAGTGCCAAAAACTTATAAACCTGAAGAGAGTTTGTCAATCCCAAAATAATCTATGTGTTGTAGCTGTGAATGAGGACAGTCAGCCTTGTGAGTTGGCCACCTATATCAAAATTAGCTGTTGCTATTAGTAAAGAGCTTTGGGAGGAACAGTGGAAGTTAAAAACTTTGATGTGCTCAAACTGTAAAAATATGAGCACTGTTTTGCCACTGCTATGAATGGCCCATAGAATCATATGGGGTTGGAAGGGACCTCTGGAGATCATCTAGTCCAATCCCACCCCCCGGCCCCAGAGTGGGTCTACCTATAGCAGGTTGCACAGGAACTTGTCCAGGCAGGTTTTGAATGTTTCCAAAGAAGAAGACTCCACTGGGCAGCCTGTTCCAGTGCTCTACCACTGTCACAGTAAAGAAGTTCCTCCTCACGTTTAGGTGGAACTTCTTATACTCAAGTTTGTGCCCATTTCATCTTGTCCTGTCACTGGGCACCACTGAAAAAGGACCAGCCCCATCCCCCTGGTACCCTCCCTTTAAGTATTTGTAAGCATTGATTAGATCCCCCCCTAAGTCTTCTCTTCTCCAGACTAAAAAGACCCAAGTCCCTCAGCCTCTCCTTGTAGCAGAGATGCTCCAGGCCCTTAATCATCTTTGTAGTCCTTTTCTGTACCCTCTCCAGCAGTTCCCTGTCCTTCTTGAACTGGGAGGCTCAGAACTGGACACAGATTGTTTTTGTCTAATACCACAATTGGTATTTTTTGTTCTTGTTGTCTTTGAAATTTTCTTATACTTTATTGATGGAATATTTTAACTGTATGTGCGTGTTTGAAGAAAAAGAAGGGTAAAAGATCACTAAAAAAAGGTGGAATTAAGAAAATTTTTTTCTAAAAAAAAAAACAAAAACAAAAAACCACGGCATAATCTCTCAGATTCCTTAGAGCCTTTTTATCCCAGGGGATATATGTACACTTAATGTTAAATTGGAACCCAAATTTGAACTGCAATTCATTTCATATCCCTGCTAAAATGTACTTTATAAGCTGGCTCTTACAACTTTTTGTATGTCTTGAGTAAGAACAAGTAAAAACACTGATCTTAAATCACAAATGGAAGAAATGACAAATTGAAATATAAAAGTGGCTTAGGAAAAAATCTATGCCTTGAAAGGGTGCCAACTAGAAATAATGAGGCTAGCTACTATTTCAAAGGAATTGTTTGATGAAAGGATCCTAAAGTTTGAGCTGAATCTCTCCCTTCCACCTGAGAGCTGAAGCATTTTTATTCCCTCTCTATTTCAATCCAGTTATAAACAGGTTAATTTAAGCCATCATGAGAGCAGAGCAGGATCATTCACTCAGATAATTGTCTTGTTTGCAGCTGGATGTTACTTGTTAATGAGTCCTGGTACCTCTTTACTGCAATCTGAGATTTGTGGACACCACAACAGTGATATCTGGAGAATTTTTGATGGGTTATCTGGAAGAAAGTAAAATGACCTATCCATTACAGCTTACCTTGAGT